TGTCATGAAATATTTAAATATCACTCACAAAACAATATATTTCACTTACCCCGATTCTAACTCGCTATTCCATAAATAATCACAAATTGCAGCTTCGATGTCATCAATTCCGCTTGGAATATCCGCTTTTTCAACCTACAATTTTGCATACAAATTTTTGTCACAACAACATAATAAAAATCAAATTAAGTATTCTTTTATTAAACTTACCTTCTGCTTCTTCTTCTGGGGTGCAGGAAATTCCGAATCCAAAACTGCTGCTATAACACTCTCCGGTGTATAAATGACATCGACTTCCTTCCTCCTCATTTCTTCCATCTCTTCTTCTTCCTCCTCCCTCTTTTCTTCTTCATATTTTTTCAGTTCATCGTACTTTTTTTCTACATAGCTCTTCATCTCTTTTATTTCACCCTTCAATTGAGCTCCTTCATCCGAGTATTTATCAACCACCCCCTTCACCCCCGTAAGTTCACTCCTCAAATCCACAACCTCCTTCACCACTCCCTCAAAATTTTCTCCCGTCACCATCTTAATATCACCCCTTAACACCCCAACTTCTTTCACCACTTCACCCTCAACACCTCTACTTCTTTCACCACTCCATCTATTTTTCCTTCCACTACCCCCTTATGCCTCTCGAGTGTATCTTCGACTCTCTCGAGTTTCTCTACGACTCGATCAAGTTTCTCTTCGACTCTTGATTGTCTTTGCATGATTTCAAATTGGATTTTTTTTATATCAGCCAATTCAGACATAAAAATGTCGAAGTTACTCTGTTTTCCCTCACCGTCGTCCCACTCACCGTCATCCCCCAATACAACCATCCCTCCTTTCTTCTCCTCTGCCTCCTCTACATCCTTGCCAATAACCTTCAAAATTAAATTACAATATTAAGACATTGATTATATTCTTAATATTATTTAATTACATTTATTACCATTTCTTGCTTCTTCCCTCTATCCAACTTCAACTTCACCATCACTCTAACCACCTCTTCCTTCCCCCATGCACGGATGCGTGCCACTCCGGTTCTTTCATAAGCCGGCACTGCCTCACAGCCCGACCAAAAATCGAACAGTGCAACCTGCATTTATAATAAAATTTATATTTTTATATAAAAACACAAAAAAAGTGATTCAACTCATTTACCTCTAAGATTGCTATGCACCCTTTGAGGTATCTCTGGCTGCCCTTTTTAAAGGTGATTATTGATTCAATCAATCTCGAATGGATATATTCAACCCAATTGAATTCACCCTTCAAGCCTTCATCGCAAATGAGCTTCATATATTCCTTGTTCGTTGACGTATCACCCGTTGGACAAAGAAATATCCCGACAAGGTACAATAGAACTCGGGCCTTCAGCTCATCCCCCCAGTAAGATCCACTTTTGATATCCTCTTCAACTTCAGCATATGTCACCTTATGATTCAAACCATATTTGGAGGCAAGTGCTTTCCAGTTCTTACTCCTACAGACTTCTATAACACTTTTGCCTTTGTTTTGTACCCCCAATACGGTTGCAGCAGTCGATACCCCCCCAGATGGAATGAATAATCACCATACTTAGCCATACATTGACTGACGTCAAATTGTGCCATCAAGGATCAACACAATTCCCTCCGAATAGGTCGATCCCTTACTCCGATCAACGATCCAAAACCTATTTCTCCCAGCACATTCAACTGACCCTTCTCCTTAAGGTGTTTAATTAATAAATTCACCCTTTTAATGCTGCATCTTGTCGACACTTCCTACATTTTTTAACAATATATAATGTTATAGTTCTTATATATTTTGTATCAACATATTTTACAAGTTTAAGGAATACCTTATTTTCATGTGCTTTCCTCCGTTCTTTGTATTCTTTACTATCATTCCTTGACTGTGTGATGTAAGGTTCTTTTTCAGCATCACTCATTGAATTCCATTTGGACCTCACATCTTTTTTCACCTAATATTAAACATAAACGTTTCTTAATCAATACATTAACACTAAATACTAATACTACTCAATGTCAATTTCATTTTACATACCGAACCGCTCTGTGTGCCATCTCCCTTCATCCTTTTGCATTCGGCCATACTGTTAACATTTAAAATTTGTAATCAATTTAAAGTTTATCGATACTTTAATCCAATTACCATTTCAACAATAATAACAAAAAGACATTGATACTTACTAGAAGTACATATATCCACCCTTTGGTTGCTTTCGAGTCTCGGCCTCAATTTCAAAGTCATCTTCTCCACCAACAATTTTCCAACCCATTGACTCCATTTTTCCTTCATATATCAGTTTACGCAAATCAAATTATTTTGTTACATACACTTTATTCAATATACAAATATAGATAACTACTCTTGTGGTAAAACGATTTTCTTCAAAAGAATTTGAATGGCCACACCAAAATGTGTCGGCACATTTATACAACCTATAATATCATTTTCTACCTATAATATTTAATAAAAGTATCGACATTTATATTTTTCCTTGAATATCTATTTCTACCTGCAATCGGTCCCAAATGCTTCCTTAATCCAAAACCCCAAACAACACATAAAAAACCCTACCGCGATTACTGTAATAATAAAAAATTAGGGTTTCGACAACATACTTTTCGATTCGACTGCAGCAACAAACAAACAAACTTCGCTTTAGAAACGCCTTCTGAAATGCAGCAACAATTACTCTTCGATTTCAAAAACTCGTCCGTTCTATATTTTTTCAGAGGATATTTAGCTATGGCCTTTATATTTTCATCGGATATGTTATTTATATTTAATCGATACAAATACAAAAGTGTCGATACTTTTATGTCAGGTGTCGATACTTTCGAAAGGATAATTACCTATTTCTTTGAAAGTGTCGATAATTTATTACAAGTACTTACGAAAGTATCGACACTTCCAATATATCCGGTATCATTTTACCGGTTTTATCATTTTGATACCGGTTTTATCATATTTTTACCTGTTATATCGTTGTGGATCGATATATTTTTTTTAAAGTATCGACACATTATAGGCGCTATAACTGCTTCTCTTTTAAATTCACAAAGTGTCGATCCTTATATAAAGTATCGACACTTTTAAATTTACCGGTTTTATCATTTTGTTACCGGTTTTATCATATTTTTACCTGGTATATCGTTTTGGATCGATACATTTTTTAAAAGTATCGACACTTTATAGGATTTAAAACTGATTTTAAAGTTATGTAATTTATGTTTCAATTTATTTAATAGTGTTTCATGTTTTTCACCTACAATATTAATTTAATAATTTAATTTACACAAAATATTATTTGATTGTTTTGATATTTTATAAAATATTATTTAGAATTTAAATTTAACAATATTAACCAAATATAATAATAAATATGTTTTCAACAGTGAAATAAGTATAGACACTTTTATAAAAATGATATATACTTTTTTGAAAGTTATGTAATTTATGTTTCAATTTTTTTAATAGTGTTTCATGTTTTCCACCTACAATATTAATTTAATAATTTCATTTACACAAAAAATTATTTGATTGTTTTTATATTTTATAAAATATTATTTAGATTTTAAATTTAACAATATTAACTAAAGATAATAATAAATATATTTTCACAGTGAAATAAGTATGGACACTTTTATAAAAAGGATAGATAATTTACAATATAACAGGTAAAAATATGACAAAACCAGATTCATTATGACAAAACCGGTAAAATTTACTTGATATGTTAAAAGTATGGACACTTTTATAAAAAGGATAGATACTTACCGATAACCAAAGTTTACCGGTTACCAAATTTTTTAATAGTTTTTCATATTTTCTACCTAAAACATTATTAGTTGTCAACATAATAGGTACTGCTAAACCGAATTTATTAAATACATTTTAATGTATCCGGTAATGCTGTATATTAGCCGTATATTAACCCGTCTTTCCTGAGACATTCCCTTGTGACCAAGATATAGGAGGGCGGGGATAGAGATGGCAGTTCATGGCTAAAAGTACACCTTTCACAGGAAAGCTTTTCTAAGTTATGCCCTGACAGATGTCTAGGAGCTTGTCTAGCATTTTGCTGATGCCTTTGATGAAGATTTTTTTGGCTTGTCCATAGTTTAGCAAACTTGTGGTCTTAAACCTTAAGGTGGGTTTTGTTCACGGAATATAAGATTACCAGTGGAAATAGGATTACTGGAATGTAACATTACCTAACACATTACTGGAATGTTATATTACTGTGTTTAGTTTGTTTGGCAGTAATGTAAGATTACAGTATTTGGTTGAAGGAATAAAATATTACTGGAATGTATATTTTACCAAATTGACCTTGTTCTATATTTTTTAACAAGTGAAATTCTAATTATTTAAATAAAATTTGTTTATATAAAAATTCATCGATAATATATTTAAATAAAAAATATTTATATAAAAATTCATACCATAGTTGTTTGTATTGTCATTCCTGCATTATATCCCTTGATCGTACAGAGAGTAGATGTTCTAAACATTCAATGCAATTGTGGCAGGATCATAGATATTACAAATTGAGAAGAAATATACGCACTAAGAATTTATAACAGTTATCCATTGTCATATAGTATGCATGTATAACAGTAGGAAAAATCCTAGCGAATGGAAATTTATAGCAAGTATTGAACATTTGCAAAGAAATATGAGCCTTTTATATAACTTATAATATAGGACGACAAGGATATATTTTCAACCAAGTGACTACTATCATAATACACCGCATTACAGCTAAATACCAGCATAACCCAACGGTTGTATATGTCGACTGGTTAGAGAATAGAAGGCCTCATACCTAACAAATGCTTGGAAGAACCAGAGAAAGCAACAACAAAAACACTGCATATATATGTAGTAGCCACCTTAGCTCCATACATAGCTCGCATCAACACATTTCCTTTTGAAGAGTTCTTAACTTTTGGCAAGTTTAGTGATTCCACAAGGTTGTCCAAGGTTGGCCGACAAGTTTCAATTATGGGGATTTTGGAGCTAAGGTGCTCTTTTTAGTTATCAAGTGAGGAAGAGGCCCATGTGAACTGCTTTGGGGAGTCAGACTCCAACTTATGCAAGACATACTGAAGTATGAGATGGCCTTGGTTGACCCGTGTAAGCTCAGAAGTAAAAGCATTACTAATATCAAGAAGCTTCACACTGATATCTAGGTATACATCCATCCATTTTTCATCCCAATCAGTCACAGGGAGGTCAAGCTCGGTTATCAGGTTCATTATGTCACAATGAATCTCAGAAAGTAACTCCATTGTCAATTTCATCCATGACAAGCTGAGGATGTCACCCTTATCTTTAGGCACAAGTTTTTCTAGCCTCTTTGATAAGGTGGCCTCAAAAGTGTTCAATAAAGAAAGAAGTCTTGGAGACAACTGAGAACCCTTAGGTGATATCATACGGAAAGGATTTTCAAAATGGAAGAAAGGGCGATTTGATTCATGAGGATGACTCATCTTGACGTATTTAACTACAAAAAATAAAAGAACAAATTCAATCATGAGCTCAAACACAAATAAATTTAATAATTCCATGGGTTATAATAGACAAAAACACCCAGAAGTTTCTATAAATATTCATCTTTATAATTACAAGAACAGAAGCCTTAAAGCCATAATCTCCATAACAACAACAAACCATTAGTTCCAGGACACATCACACAACAACAAAAGCATTCCTCTGAAAACCTCCCTCTCGTTTCTAATGAGAATACAAATTAAGTTGAACCTTTCTTCGAAACTATACCTAGCAGATCTAACCAAATATTTAAAAGCAATTCTTTAACGTCCGAAGTCAAAAACACGTAAACTAAAGCCAGATCTAATAAAACTATCAAAAAGATATCTGCAAACAAAACTGAAAGTAAATAAACCAATTATATATGTAACCTTACTCAGTATTCGATCCTTAAATCCGAACAAAAGTAAAAACTCTCGACAGATTGATGGTGCTTTGTTAGAAACTTAAGCTTAAAAAATGACAACCTAAAACTAAGAATCCTCAACTACAAAATTTTCTCGGAAGAAATTGTGTTTCTTCCGAAACAAACAAATATGGGAGAATTAAAAAGATCTAAAGAAAAAGAAGCAAAAAATGATCAGAAACAAATCATAACCCTAACAACATTCATCTCATAATATAATAAAATAATTCGTGTTTCTTCAGAATAGAAAAAAGAACATAGAATTGAAACGATCTACATAAAAGTAAACACAAAGGAAATGAAAAGAGAGAATTCCACCTGACGTATTAGTACTTCATAATCGGGAAATTTCTATGAAATCTTTAAACGCGTATTGGGTTCGGTCTTCCTGTTGAAATCCCCCTTGGAGACAGAGAGTTCTCAATTTCCACGGAAATCAAAGACAATGGCCCATATTTTGGCATCCCCTTCAACCATATAATGAGGAAAACACAAAGGCGAATCTTTTAACACCAAAATACTACCGATCGAAGCAGTAGGAGTAGCTACGGAAGGCGGACGGAAATCACGCACGGTGGAAATTTTAGAGAATCCTGATAGCCAGAACGAAATGTGGAGAAGATTATTTTATAGAAGAGATACGGGAATAATGAAATACCTAATGGAGATGAGGGATAGATATTCCTAGGAAAACAGTAAAAAAAATGACTGTTGGTATTAATTTATTCTTGGTACTTGGTAATGTGACCATCCAAACATGGATATATTATTCTCGGAAAAAAATATTCCTCCCAGGAATGATTTATACCGTGAATCAAACGGGACCTAAGAGTGTTATTATTGCAGATCTTTTTCTCTTTTTTTTTTCTTCTATGCATCTTTTATAAAAGTTTTTCCCGATTAGTACTAGCTGTCTGATACATATCTTTAAACCACTATGTATTTCCCTAACCCTTTTCAAAAACATGCTTTTTCTATGCTCTGTTTAAATTAGAGACCTTTTTTTTTCTTTTTTGGTGCTTCATTGTTTCATTTTCAACTTCTGAAACTTTAGTTCATTCTACAAAACTTGTACGCATGAACCACCGGTGATGGCTTCGGATGTGGATATTCTTCAAAATCAACCTGATGTACTGACAGTTTGTAAACCTGCATCTGTTCCTGTAAGTCTTTTGCCAAGTGTACCTATTTAAACTTTATTAGTCTGTATGATTGTTGGGGTGTCTAATGAGCTTATTGATTAGATGAGGACAGAAGGAACTTTTCTTCCTTCTTACCATATGATATCAGTGACTCTGTGCTTTCTTTAATTTTAGATACATCCATGTGGTCAATATCGTCAAAACATTGTTCTGGGTATCCTCCAAGCAGAGCATGGGTTGGCTCCTTTGTATCGTATACATATCTAACTCCATATGGCTACTTTTATTTTTTGTATGTGGAAATTAATCTTTTTTGTATTTTTCTTTTCAGTCAAGTTGTAAAATTGGAGTTTTCTACTTTTTCCTTGACATTATCATCCTAGCCATTCATCGACTATATCATCTGGTCCCAGGATTTTTTATCATAACCAAAAATCCATTTAAAGCTGACATTTTTAGACAACATGTAACTCTTCTGTGATTTTATGTATACATTTATTTATTTGTGTGTAGGCAAACTTTTTTTTGGCACAAAACTTGTTACTACTGTGTTGATAATCTAGAATCACAAACAGCTGTCAATTGCATCCTTTTCCATTTTATATGCTTATTTAACAACATGGCTACATGTGCAATATTGCATGATTTGGTACAATGATAACTAGGACACTAGCTGCTCTGTTCATCAAAGATAAAAATTCATTGCTTTATCAATATGCTTGATTTGGAAATTTGAGACTTCTTGCATAATGAGAATTTTCATTTTATTCTGAATGTGATGATTCAAAATCGAGGCTGGGATGCTTCAGAAACAGTATGGTGCAATGGTTGTCGGAGTGTCTCCAGAGGGTGACGTATACATTCATGTAATTTGTGTTCAAATTTGATTGTTTTCTGCTGGTTCAAATTTTATCAAGTGCATACATACTCTGGAAGCTTTTTTTTGGCTAAGCTGGAAAATTTTCCAAATAAGTTTTATTCTAGATGAAAAAAATATTCTATATAAAAAGCATATTTTATAAAATTTAGGATAAAGTATATAAATGAGAAAGTTATTTTGTTGATACTTTGAACTACTAAAAGTTATTTTGTTGATACTTTCAACTACTAAAAGTTATTTTGTTGATACTTTCAACTACTAAAAGTTATAAAATTATTATTTGATTATAAGATATTGTTTTGTTGAATTCTTATACTATTAAACGTTATAAAATGGTCATTCGACTATTCATATGTTCTAAACTCGTCATTTTCTATTAAAAACTTAACGATCGTTTGAGCTGGACGCTAATATGTTGATTAGGATATGATAGTCGTTTGAGATTTCGGGATTAGATTTTATCATATCCCTGTCAGTAGATTAATGTTCATATCGTCGTCATTTCAATGAAAAAGAACGATTTTAGAACATATGAATAGTTAAATGATTATTTTATAATTTTTAATAGTCGATGGAAGCAACATCTTACAATCGAGAGATAATTTTTTAATTTTTAATAATTGAAAGACTCAATAAAACAACACTATACCGTCGGGAGACCATTTATATACTTTGCCTTAAATTTTATTTAATAATGATTGTTGAAGTTGTTATATAAAATTATATATTATAGCCCATTAAGTGTTCCATTAGTTAGTGAAAGTGTTTTTTTTTGGGTAAAATATACAAATAATCCTTGAATTTTTAGAGCATTTATATTTTAATTATTTAACTTTAGAAACTTGTAATAAAGTTATTGAATTTTTAGTTCGTTTTCATTTTTTCCTTATCATTATCTCTATTAATTTTTTACTTCTTCTTCTTCCTCCTTTTTCTTCTTCTTTTGTCAAAATTCATGACTATGGGTTGACCCAAGCTTAAATCCAAATGAAAAGGAGAATTTCCAAAAGCTTCCCCGTAAACCTGAAATTCGACTCAAGAATCTAAGCTTCTTAGATCTGCGTGTCTATAAACCCTAAACAATGAAAAAGTTAAGACCAAATAACCCAAAACCAGGGCAATTGTTTTTTTTTGTTTGGGATTTGGTTTTTGATGAATATTGCTTTTGAATTCTAAGAGAAACATCAAGGAGAAATATGGTGTTGGGTCTTTTGGGTTCAAACAAAGGGGATTTATTTAACAAATCATGGGTCGATAAAAAGTAAGCTTTTTGCAGAAATTTGAAGGTAAGTTTCAGTTTTGAGAGATGGGTTTTTGTTTGTTGAACATCTATGGGGTTTCTGCACAAGTAAACAATCTTACAGTTGGAATCTTTGATGGAAGCGTGCAAAGAAGCATAAGGGACATGGGTTGGCAAAAACCCTTGGCTTGTAAACACTAATGTTTTCCAGATTGGGACAAGGGTTGTTCATGTAGAAATAACTCTCAAAGGCACGAACAAGTGGGTGAGGATTAGAAGAGAGCAATGGATGTTCATCCGTAGCTAGCTGATTGCGGTATAAGGTGCAGAAAGTCAAGGCCTTGAGCCAAGTAGTGCAGGATTTTGGGACAGTGGCGAGGATAACATAAATAAAATGCTTGGAAATTCCTCTAGAAAGAAATCACAATTTTTAAATCACCGGCGGGGGCTGCTGAGCACTAGAAGCCTTGATAGGGATAAAGACTCGTTCCTCTATCCACAAACCTTCTTCTTCAGGGAGGGTTTGCACCAGTTTGTTAGAGCTCATCATCCCATGATTTATCCGCATCCAAGGTTAGTGAAACGAGTTTGGCTTTGCTCATTTCTGTTGTATCCATGATGAAACCAACACCCAAAGAAGAAGAAGAAAGGGAGTTAACGGCTTTTAAATGTCACACAAGTAGAAAACTAATGGAGATAATGGCATGGACAAAAATGAAAACGAATTAAAAATTTAATGATTGTATTGTAAGTTTTAAAAGATTTGTGATCAAAATATAAATAACTAAAAATTTAGAGATTATTTATATACTTTATTTTTTTTAAGATTATGAATTTAAACTATTACGTTTATATAAAAAAAATATTATATTATAATCACCTAATATTATTTTAAAATATAAAATATATTTAAATTATAAATGTTGAAATTTTTGGAAAATCGCTATATAATTTTTTATTTCTCGTGTTCGTTCTATGTTAATTTCTAAAATTTAAAGACGTCCTTTTTATTATTATGAATTTTAAAATTCAAACGTTTTTTTATTGTAAACATAATTTATCTTGTTATTATATTTAACCCTTATTAATAAAAAATCAATTAATATTAAATTATTTATTGAAAAATATTATATTATGATGGATTGTTGTAACAACATAAAAGGAGTTAAACCCATAAAAATAATTACAAGGACGTAACATAATCAAGTTCAGTTCAAAATATAAAAAAGATTAAGTTTATCTCAAACTTTACATTTGATTTTGTTCAATCAAATTTTATTTTAAAGATTAAATTTAATTTGAAGTA